AATAATTATATAAACTTCATAATATATTAGTTTTGAACTATTAGTTGTATAGTAATATATATTTGATTTTTTTCATAAGTTGTAGATGATGATATGAAGAATTAATATCAGCTCCAAAATGTGTACAAAGTAATCAGAGTTCCTCTAGTCAATAAATTTCTTAAGCCCTAAAGGACATTAAGCATTCTATCAAAAACGGAAGGTGAACTCATCTCTATATATGAGGCTGGTAATAGAAAATCAAGATGCAATGGGAATTTGACACCAAATTCTTAATCTTGCTTTACATTTGTATCCTCTCTCTTCTTTAAGAAGTCCCAGTTTTCATTCTCTGTGACATCCTACCTCATTTCCTCTCCTTAATCATAAAACTATACTGACTCCTAGAATCCTATCACACCCATATTCACACCCAGGTATCAATTCAGTTCAGTCGCTCAGTCATGTCTGACTCTTTGTGACCCCATGGAATGCAGCATGCCAGGCTTCCCTGTCCATCACCAAAACCTGGAGATTACTCAAACTCATGTCCATGAGTCGGTGAGGCCATCCGACCATTCCATCCTCTGTTGATCCCTTCTCTTCCCGCCTTCAATCTTTCCCAGCGTCAGGGTCTTTTCCAATGAGTCAGCTTTTTGCTTCAGGTGGCCAAAGTATTGGAGTTTCACCTTCAGCATCAGTCCTTCCAATGAATATTCAGGACTGATCTCCTTTCGGATGGACTGGTTTGATCTCCTTGCAGTCTAAGGGACTCTCAAGAGTCTTCTCTAACACCTCTGTTCAAAAGCATCAATTCTTCGGGGCTCAGCTTTTTTATAGTCCATTTCTCACATCCATACATGACCACTGGATAACCCATAGCTTTGACTAGATGAATCTTTGTCAGCAAAGTAATGTCTCTGTTTTTTAATACTCTATCTAGTTTGCTCATAGCTTTTCTTCCAAGGAGCAAGCATCTTTTATTTCATGGCTCATTCACCATGTGCCATGATTTTGGAGCCCCTCCAAAATAGTCTCTCACTGTTCCCATTGTTTCCCCATCTATTTGCCATGAAGGATGGGGTTGGATGCCATGATCTTAGGTTTTTGACTGTTGAGTTTTAAGCCACTATACTAGTACACTGTATATACACCCAGGTATACTAGACACCAATGTATACTAGACAGCAAATTAAATCTTTGTTCTATCTTCTCTATTACCTGTATTTTCATTTTTCCCCAAAGATATCCCAGTCAAAAGTTAGAACAAAGCCTAAAAGACTTGATTTTTATACTATCAACAGAGACATAATAGAATCAAGATGGGGAGCAATTTTGAGGCAATATGTAAGTGACTGACTGCTTCAACCAGGAATTTTATGGGTTCTTATGCATATGTATAGCCTCCAAAACACAATAGCAAGTAAGTTGGGACAGGGATAGTGAGAGGCAGAGTAACAAGACACTACCAATGATTGCATATTTTACCCATATGTTTAAGTTAGTAATAAAAAATAAAGCAACCACTGTTGCAAATTAAGTTCAGGACAGCTTGATGCTGAGTAGGTAAGATAGGTAAGTGGGCAGGTAGAAGGTAGGTAGGTAGGCAGGTCAGCTGATTGAGAGAAAGCTTTCCTTGCCTAGTCTTTAAACTGTAAATGTTGGTGCCAACTTATCCACTCTACATGGGATGGAGTATTTGATAGGAGTGGTTCGTCTTTCTAAATATCCTAGGAAGGTACAGTCCAGTAGACATCTAGAGTCTTCCAGCAAATAGACTTCTGCTCTGAATAATGTAAAAACATTGCATATTTTGCATCACTGCTGATTTAGGAGAAAAAGAGGTGACTGAGAATTGATATACTTGTGTCAGATAAAATAAACCAAATAAAAAGTTATAAGCCACTGATATTAGTACATTTTCTGGATTTTCTGTATTTGTCTTGAAAAGACTGCACTATTGAACACAGGAACAGTAAGGGGTGTTGCTTATTGGGATACTTTTTGTACTCATTTCATACACTAGCAAAGTAATGCTCCAAGCCAGGCTTCAACAGTACATGAACTTAGAACTTCCAGAAGTTCAATCTGGATTTAGAAAAGGCAGAGGAACCAGAGATCAAATTACCAACATCTGTTGAATCATAGAAAAAGCCAGAGAATTACAGAAAAAAATCTACTTCTGCTTCCTTGACTACACTAAAACCTTTGTGCATATCACAACAAACATTGGATAATTCTTAAGGAAATAAGAATATCAGACCACCTTACCAACCTCCTGAGAAACCTGTATGCAGGTCAAGAAGCAACAGTTAGAACTGGATATGGAACAATGCACTAGTTCCAAACTGGGAAAGGAGTATATCAAGGCTGCTTGTATACATCAAGTATTGTCACCCTGCTTATTTAACTTCAATGCAGAGTACATCATGCAAAATGCCAGGCTGGATGAAACACAAGTTGGAATCAAGATTGCAGGGAGAAATATCAATAACCTCAGATATTCAGATGACACCACCTTATGGCAGAAAGCATAGAAGTAAAGAGCCTCTTGATGAAAGTGAAAGAGGGAAAAAGCTGGCTTAAAACTCAACTTTGAAAAAAAAAAAAACTAAGATCATGGCATCTGGTCCCATTCAGTTCAGTTCAGTCACTCAGTGGTGTCTGACTCTTTGCAACACCATGAACTGCAGCACGCCAGGCCGCCCTGTCCGTCACCAACTCCCAGAGTCCACCCAAACCCATGTCCATTAATTCGGTGATGCCATCCAACCATCTCATCCTCTGTTGTCCCCTTCTCCTTCTGCCCTCAATCTTTCCCAGCATCAGGGTCATTTCAAATGAGTCAGCTGTTCACATCAGTTGGCCAAAGTATTGGAGTTTCAGCTTCAACATCAGTCCTACAAATGTACACCCAGGACTGGTGTCCTTTAGGATGGACTGGTTGGATCTCCTTGCAGTCCAAGGGACTCTCAAGAGTCTTCTCCAACACCACAGTTCAAAAGCATCAGATCTCCAGTGCTCAGATTTATAATGGTGGTGTCATCTGCATATCTGAGGTTATTGATATTTCTCCCAGCAATCTTGATTCCAGCTTATGCTTCCTCCAGCTCAGCATTTCTCATGATGTACTCTGCATATAAGTTAAATAAGCAGGATGACAATATACAGCCTTGATATTCTCCTTTTCCTATTTGCTCCATGGCAAATTGTTGGGGAAACAATGGAAACAGTGACAGACTTTATTTTCTTGGGCTCCAGAATCACAACAGTTGTGACTGCAGCCATAAAATAAAAGACTTGCTCCTTGCAAGTAAAGCTCTGGAAAGCCTAGACAGCATATTAAAAAGCAGAGACATTACTTTGCCAACAAAGGTCCATCTAGTCAAAGCTATGGTTTTTCCAGTAGTCATATATGGATGTGAGAGTTGGACCACAAAGAAAGCTGAGTGCATAAGAATTGATGCTTTTGAACTGCGGTGTTGGAGAAGACTCTTGAGAGTCCCTTGGACTGCAAGAAGATCAAACCAGTCCAATCTAAAGAAGTCAGTCCTGAATATTCATTGGAAGGACTGATGCTGAAGGTGAAACTCCAATACTTTGGCCACTTGATGCAAAGAGCTGACTCATTTAAAAAGACCCTGATTCTGGGAAAGATTGAAGGTGGGAGGAGAAGCAGATGACAGAGGATGAGATGGTTGGAGGCATCACCAACTCAACAGACATGAGCTTGAGCAAGCGCTGGGTGTTGGTGATGGACAGGGATGCCTAGCATGGTGTAGTCCATGGAATCACAAAGAGTAGGGCATGACTGAGCAACTGAAAAACAAAAAGGATAATTTTAAATCTACATATTGAGAAATATTAGATTTCCATGATGCACTGTGTAGTATTTTCAAAAACAAAAGGAGTATAGTTAGTCTACTATCTTGGTATATTTGGTGTATGTAAAGTAGCAGTCTGAACTCCTTAGCCAATTCTACTTTAAAAGATAATGTTTTGATTTTTCTAGTGCCTAGCTAGATTTTCTCCAAACTGGATCCATTATCTTTTTTTTTTTTCTTCCCTTTTCTCCTTCGCATTCCTTTAACAGGGTGTCTGGGTTTTGGGTTAATTAGACATAATATGTGAAGAAGATTACCAAGAGAAAAATCAATTATTTCACTCTTCAGGGTGCAGTTCTAACTTAAAAATCATTTTGTGATAAATTACATAGCCATTATAGTTACATTTGAATTATTAACACAAAGATCCCTGGTCTTCCTATCTATTTCTTAGTGATTATAATCCTCAAGAATTTAAATTCAATTATGATTACTCACTAAAAAAGGATATAAAAGTTTTTTCACCAGTAGTCTATCTTCAAGTTTGTGTAAGACTCATGATAAGCAAAATAATTTCAAGAGTTTCAAGAAATCTATACTATTAGTTAATTAGATATATGATCTATTTTAGAAAATGTATATCATCTAGATATATGAATGAATACATGAGGTATCTTTTTTTCCAATTAAAAAAGAAACTGGCACACTTGGGAGGGAAGTTATAGTCAGAATCTGAAATAGCACTTCAGAGGTCTTTCTTTGGTTTTTTGACTAGAAGGAGAATTTTTAGAATATGCTGTTTTATGTTCAGAAGAATCTAGAGCCAATAGTGACTATAAAAGGCAGCAGCAGAATAATATCACGTAAGTAAATATTTTAAAAGCAGATAGAACTAATTAAAAACCTATTTCTTACTAGATTTCAAAAGATATTTGAATTCTGAAACTTAATCTGTTTTTATGAACTGAATTTTTAGCCTCCCACACTACTACCTATGTGAAGAGGGCACATATTTCAGGAAATTTAAAAACATGTCAGGAAGAAGCATTTTGTTTGCATAGTTCTAAGCATGACTAGTCTATATTATTATTTAAAAATTTGAAGTCATAAGCTCTAACCTAAATAAACTTCAAAGCTATATATGTATACACACACACAGTATACATGTATATGTGGAAAGAGCAATATTTTACTCACAGGCAAACTGAAGTATGACTTCTCTACTAAGAATACTTCCAAATGTGTTGGCTGCCAAACACTGATAATGACCAAAATCCTTTGCTTCACTTGGATTGCTTATAATAAAGGCCCCGTCTATCAAACTGTAGCGAAAATCACTTTCCAAATCTATTTCTGTTCCATTTCGAAGCCATCTTAGGGAAAAATCAGAAGACAAACATGTAAAAATTACTTGAGACATAATACTCCCTGGGTGTATCAGAATCCCACTGAAAGGAATTTTTTAAGACAAGAAATATGATTAATAGTGAATTTCTACCTGTAATTGGGAACTGGGTTGCCACGAGCTTCACAATTCAGTGCTACTTTCTTTTCATCAGAATCAGTCGGGAAAATTATATCATCTGGTTCTTGCACAAACACTGGCCCGTAATCCACACTTTCTGTAAGGACCAAAAAGACACACTTTAAAATTTCTTAAAATAGCAAGACATTTTTTTCTCCATTGTGTCCCTACTCAAAATCCTTGCTCTTTCCTCATACTGAACAGGTGTATTACCAAAGGAAGGAATAGCTGACAAATTATATTATTTTAGTAAATTGCAGAGACCTAAATAGATGCTTTTCTCTACTTGACCAAGATGGCTCTTAGAAAAATATGATACATGAAATAAAAAAACACACATCTCAAACATAGGTGTTGTACATTTAAAAATATATCTTTAAATTCAGTAAAAGCAGAGCTAAGTAGATAGTAAATAAAAATATTAGTTTAAAAAAAAACTGAAATTGTAGAAGTCTTGGAATGTTGAAAATAATATGTGATAAAGTCATGAACTAATACTTTGCTACTACTTGAGTATTGTAGATTTGAAAATGTTGGTTCTTGTGCATTTTTCACATATTCCTTTCTTCACTTATTCAATCAAGCATGACTTAGTACTTAATGATGCTTGAGTGTAGGGGGAAATGATGCAATGCAAATATTCACATTTTCATGGAATAAATGAGACATGTCTTCAAAAAAAATCAAATAATTGAATAAAGATAGCAAAACTGTATACAACTAAATATTTACTGTTAGTAAATTAAAGTAAATAAGGAACTGAGAAGAGAAGAGGCAAAAAAGGAAGGTAGGGAAGAAGAGCTGTTTAAGTGCATACTATGCCCCAGACACTGGAGTCTATCTCATTAATTAGCACAGAGAAAATCTATGATAAAGGTAATTTCAAACTAATGAACATTTCACGGAAAAGTAGAAATAAAATGGGCCTCAAATGTCAACTCGAACTTAAGGAATTTTAGGATAATTCTGTTGGAGAAATGACTAATATGCTGGAGGGGTTATAAATCATATATAGCCCTAGTTGAGTAGTATGTACAGAGTTATATACATACCTAGTCTCAATAGCATTCTGAAATATGAAATCAGGAAAAAGCAAAACTTTTTCTTTTTTCACTAATCATAAATTTGATTACATGATAACCTTAGATTAATATTTTCAACACTGGCACAAATGTCGTTTGGGGATATTCTTTGTTGTGAGGGTTTTCTCTGCACTGTAAGATGATTACCATCATTCCTGGCCTCTACCCTGCAGATTCCAGCAGCACACCTCCCCAAAATGCAATAATCAAAAATGTCTGCAGACCTCATTAGATGTCTCATGGGGACAAAATAATCCTCATTTAAAACCACTGTCTTAGGAAATATGAAAAGCAAAGATTTTAGTAAGAACATTTATCCAATGTCTGTGTTAAACATCCTCTGTGGATAATCACAAGAAAATATCAGGAAACAATTTAAGAATGAATAATCGTGAAAAGTAAAGACTTAGTAAATTATTACTGAAAAGATGTACACCTCCATAATTAGAATAATGAGTTTAGAGTTAATTGATTTGCTTTCTTGCAAAGTACTCTACAGCCATTCTCTTTTTTATAAAGAGAAACATGGTATTCCAATCATCCTTCTGATACAAATTGAATACTCACAATGGCCAATACCAACAAGTATTTTCTTTGAGTCCTCCTGGAAAACCTAACTGAGGTTCTTTTCCCTAAGCTATTAAAAAAAAAAATTACATGACAGTAACTAATATGTGTTATTCTATACCAAATTCCACTGCTGCTTTACTTTACAAAAGGAAAATAAATAAGACATTTGATAAATAAATAACTAGAGGAAATTATTGTCAAAATATCATGCTGCATGTTATCATATCATAATGATCTTTTTTAAAATTTGAAAAAGCACATGAAACCTCAAAATCTCAATTAGTATTAAACTACATAATCAAATCATGAAAGGGAATCATTTTTTCTGTACTTTACACTTAAAATATAATCATTTAAATTACATTATAAATATCTGTGTGTGTGTATATATATATGTATATATATATACACACACACATATATATAGAGAGAGAGAGAGCCATGAAATTAAAAGACGTTTACTCATTCAAAGGATAGTTATGACCAACCTAGACAGCATATTAAAAAGCAGAGACATTACTTTGCCAACAAAGGTCTGTCTAGTCAAGGCTATGGTTTTTCCAGTGGTCATGCATGGATGTGAGAGTTGGACTATAAAGAAAGCTGAGCACAGAAGAATTGATGCTTTTGAACTGTGGTGTTGGAGAAGACTCTTGAGAGTCTCTTGGACTCCAAGGAGATCCAACCAGTCCATCCTAAAGGAGATCAGTCCTGGGTGTTCATTGGAAGGACTGATGTTGAAGCTGAAACTCCAATACTTTGGCCACCTGATGTGAAGAGCTGACTCATTGGAAAAGACCCTGATGCTGGGAAAGATTGAGGGCAGGAGGAGAAGGGGACAACAGAGGATGAGATGGTTGGATGGCATCACCGACACAATAGACATTGGTTTGGGTGGACTCTGGGGAGTTGGTGATGGATAGGGAGGCCTGGTGTGCTGCGGTTCATAGGGTTGCAAAGAGTCAGACACTACCGAGTGGTTGAACTGAAGTGAACTGAAATATCTATGATATATAAGATTAAATTTTAATAAATATATCTTATACTTTTATATTTTTTTTAAATTCTTGAGCTTTAGAGTCAGACACTTGGGTTCAAATTTTAAACCATCTTTTTCTAGACTTGATCAAACTACTTTTATCCTTTGTTGCTTCATTTATTAATTGTAGATAATAATGTCTCCTTAAATACTTAGTATGTCACAAGTGCTCAACAAATTATAATTAATAAGAGTAATAGCTAAAACTTACTTGTGTTATAATTACTATATGCCAGACATTATACTGAATAATTTATATGCAATATATCATGTAATACTCATAACAATGTGACTAGAACTAATTTCTACATTTTACTTTTTCATAGATTGGTAATTTTTAATTTTTCTTTGTAAGAGTAGTATTCTTTATTTTTAATTAACTTTTATTGAAGTATAGATGATTAACAATGTGCTAAATTCAGGTTTAGAGCAAAGTTAATCAGTTTTATGTATATTCACACTTTTGTAGGTTCTTTCCCATATAGGCTACTACAAGGTATTGAGTAGAGTTTGTGTGCTATACAGTAGGTTATTATTAGTTATCTATTTCATTTCACCATTTTATAGAAGACAAAACTGAGGCTGAAATCAATTAAGCAAATTTGTATAGCAAATAAATGATAAATTTGTGACACAAATTCAGTGTTGTTGGAATACAGAACTTGATTATCACTATCGATATTGTTACTACCACTATTACTATTATTTATAATAATAATTATTATTATATTTAAATAACATTTTTAAAGCACTCTTGTATATTACGATTTAGTTATCTGAGCTGAATTTCATAATTATTTGTAATTCAAAGATGAAAACACTGAGCTTCTGAGAGAAGACTTCTTCAAAACTAGCACATAGTAAATAGTTGATTTAATTAATCTTCTATGGCTCCAAATCTTAGACTCTGAAAATTGTCAAAACAAGACAAGAGAAATAAAGTCTTCCCAGACTGGGAAAAAGCAGAAAGTCAAGATTTTCTAAATTACAGACTGAAAAATTAAAGGACAAGTCTGAAAAACACAGATTCTATTATGACAGCCCATACTCCGTTAGATATATCTGTTCATTGTAACTTCTGAAAGCATTTTAGTGACTAGTGAGCCCTCTCACTCCCTCTCTTTCTCTGCTGTTCCTCTTTCTGTTGTTTTTCTCTTAGAAATAAAGTTCGTCGTAAGGGGTGGAAAAGCCTGTAGGTGAGTTTCCCAGTCCCTAGAAAAAGGTAAGCAAAGCTGGTTCTATCTCTAAAGGGATTAAAGTTCCATCCCAACAAGCTGTAATTACAGGTAAACTCAGACAGACTATTCTGAGGGCTCCCCTGGTGACTTGGCAGTAAAGAATCCTCCTGAAAGGCAGGAGTGGACCCCAGAGTCTGGAGGGCTTTTCTCCACGTCCTCTCCAGCATTTGCTGCTTGTAGATTTTTTGATGATAGTCATCCTGACAGGTGTGAGATGGTAGTTCCTTGGCTTTGATTTGAACTTCTCTAGTACAATTAAGAATTTAGAGCATTTTTTTCCATGTGCCTCTTAGCCATTTAAATGTCTCCTTTGGAAAAACATGTCTATTCAGGTCTCTTTTTTATAGCTCAGAGTTTCAGTTGGTAAATGAAGGATAGCCCACCCACAAGGCATTTTGGTGGGTTGACCCTGAAGGAGAGGCTTCAACCTGTCTTGACTCCCTCCTTTTATACTTTTTGTCCTCTCCCCCCAAGCCTGCCCTATGCAGATTAGGGCTAGCACACGTCATCAGTCAGGAAGCGGGTGTGTTTCCTTCACCTGAGGTTCCCACTCCAGGTCAGAGGATTTTTTTCTGTGTTCCCTTTTCATGGGCTTTTCCCCTTTCTTTGTCTTTTAGCTGCCACCATTCTCGACTCTCTTTTTTTTTTATTATAATTACCTAACCTTCCCCCCTTAAGAGTTGGGAGGCCCAATTCATTGGAAATAGGGGCATCGAGGTCTCTCTGGCTACTTCCTGCTAAGAAGAGACATTGAGGAGCATGGGGTCTCCCTCTCTTGCTAGTCTCAAGCCTCAGAGTCCTTATAGAGCTGTCTGTCTAAGGCTGAGTGAGTTTCCTTGGCTAAGGCAAACCGAGAGAGAAAGAACATAGCCCAGAGTTAACTCAAGAGGTATCCCAAGAAAGCTTATCCCCAAACACTGAATTTTGGGGGTATTCATTAGAATGGCACTTATTGATAGTTCTGAATAGGTATCGGGGAGCTCCCAGGAGGTCACAGGTGTATTGAGTGTCTCTTCTGTTTTCTTCCATGTGAACTGGAGTTCAGCCTTTGGGGACCCATCTTTCCAGACCTTAATAAGACTTGAATCCCTGGGGCATATTGTGGTAGTCCTTTAGAATCTTTGGGTTCTGGTTGACATCTCATGAACATATTTCTTGTGGGAATTGC